ATACATATATATGAATAAAACCACAACATATTTCAATTAATGAGACCATTTAGGCTAGACCTGTTTCATTATCAAAAAATATTGACACAAACATGTTCCAGGAGTGCAACCGCAATCTTCAGTGTGGCACTGCTTACAAGCAAATTCAGTGTTTATAATAAGAGTGAACAAATAGCTGAAGAAGAAATTTGCAGACAGCTCTCTTGCATGATGAAGGCTGGGGGCCTGGCTGAATTCTTTTTGAAATAGAGTGTCTTGATAGTCTGCTAGTTTAGTTAATACTATGTTGTTGAAAGGTCCACTGATTAATCTCAGATAAGATAGTATAATCATTTTTTCCTCCATGGTATAATACATACTCAAGTATCGAAATGCACGCGATCGTGTCAGGATTCAATATCATTCCTGATGATGACATATTAATGTCGAAATATAGAATCCCAACACGATGGCGTGCATTTCGATACTTGGAATATGTATTATACTATCCTATGTTGTTGAGGTCATCAATATGGAGTTATGGCAGACCTAAATGTTCAGCAGTTTATATTTTCTTTGGAGGCCTAGAATGTAGAATTTGTTTGCGCTCTGAGCTATGTTGTTCACATCAGTAAAAGATATTGTTGTAATGCTTTCATTTTAGACTTACTCCAGGTTCAGAGGCATTTAGTTTTATTTGCAAAATCATAAATGCATTAAAAGTAAACATTCGCTGTTAGCTCTGGAAATAAGACTATAATAATTATAATTATATGGGATTCTGAACCATGTTGTCGAGGATTCGAACCAGACGCTGACCATTCTCGTCTAGCCATGCTTTCCCTATTGTTGACAGGTTGTGAAGCGGCTCATGTTTGTGCGCTAGTTGCGAGTATGTCATGGCTTAGAAAAATTAATTAATATTGTGGCGACCTCTCATCAATGTTGATGGTAGTATCTGGCCTGACATACCAAGAATTATAATTGTATTATTAATAATAATTATGGTTATGATTTTGATTACTGACTACTAATTACTGACATGATCATAAAATTAAGGATAATATGGTAAGCATAAATATCGGAAAAATATTGCTATTATTGTCCAGAAGGCCTACTAGAGGTATGGAAACTCACCGGTGCATGGTGGAAAACCTGTTACTGAACTAGTTCCATTTGAACAGGGTAAAAGTGAATCTGAAATAAAATGTAATTGTTTACTTATATTTTTACTAATTTAATTGTGCTATAAGTCTTGCTACACATTGACGTTTTAAATAGTTATTTATAGTTCCTAATTACGTTACAAATCCCAGCATATTTATATTGCATTTCAATTTCACATTATCCACCTGTTGTGCCCATGACAAAGTATGGGATATTACCACACCAAGTAAATTAATATTCTTAACTTCCATGAGATTATGTTTATTGATTGTATGAAGGAACAACAGGGTCTTGTTTTCTGGACAATGACAGCACTTGAAATTTATTAACATTAAGAGGAAGTTAGTTAAGCGCTGACCACCATGAGATTGTGTTAATGTCCCGTTACAATGACACTGAATCTTCCTCTGTACAGTACTTACAGATTGAGCAATACATGTATTGTCCACATATTGATAAGGTTTTGCCTGTAAATGCATATGGAGATCTTTGACATAAATATTAAACAGCGAGGGTCCAAGCACTCACCCCTGGGGCACTCCATTCAAGAAAACAATAAATAATGCATAATTATTGACGAATGTCATTCTGTTGCGTATTCTCAAAACTATATGTAAAAATTGTATATCAATCTATATTTAATTTTTTTTTCTTAAAAACTGGTTATACCATTATTACATACAAAGTACTGAATAGTGGAATGCAAAGTAAATAATTTGTCATTTTGTTAAATGATTAAATGTTCATTATTTGTTGGTGCTATATAATTTATCAATCACTTACCTGTACAATAGCCCATGTTGGATCCAGGTGTATCAACAAGGTAGTGGACATAGTATCTTTCTTCATCTGATCCGCAAGCCTTTATGCAAAGCTCTAGTTCATATTTACAAGGCTCATCGGGTATATTTACACACCCTTTAACAACATTAATTTTACCATCCATTTCAGGATATGTACCTATTATAATGAAATAAGAAGAGTTATATAATTAGTATAATCTTCTTTTTCAAAAAAAATATCAAAGCTTAACTTGTGCTTTATTATAGTGGCTATGTACCATTTTGATAAACACAAACTATATATAAAAAGATATAATAAATGAGGTCTTGCCAACAAAAATGATACTGTAAGTCTACATAAAACAATGATATACCGTAAAACCTCTAATAGAAGCCCAATAGGCTTATTCTACTGATCTCTACTATTATAGTAGAGATCAGTGGCTTAATCTCGAGAAAGAAGCCCATCTCGAATAACCTCGAAAAGAAGCCCATCTCGAAAAGAACCCCATCCAAAGTTCGCCATCTCGAAAAGAACCCCATCCAATTTTTATGGGGGGGGGGGGAGGGGTGTGCGTCTCGCGTGCATCCCCCGCACCCTCTCCTAGATACGCCACTGAAGCTACCACTACCTACAGTTTCTCTTGATCGTTACAGCCTAAAGGTGTGGTGCGAAAAGCAAAGAGCAGTGAATAGCAATACAGAAACGGGAAATAAAATATGAAGAAAAAAAAAGAAATAATAAAATGCACAGAGGTAATAGAGAAAAATAAAGATTAAACTAACCATTTATCCATACTGGGTACTGGGTTCCGCATTCGAATTCTGCTGGAGATGTTGTTGGCATGGTTATATCAATGCGCTGTCCCTCTGTCATCAACTTGTACCAACCATCATTAAAGAAATAATCGGTTATTAAGACATCTCCTGACTGAGTTACGTACCGAATACTCCGATGCCAGTCAGTAAGCTCTAGTTTAGTATCACATGGTTCACCTTCAGTTTGAAGACAAGATGCTGAAAAAATATTAATTCTTGTAAATTATTTTAATATTGAGTTTCATTTGTGTTTCATGTAGATACACAACACATACGTACCTTTTCTCCAAGGGAATTTGATTTCATGTTTCGATCGAATGTGTCCATTCTTAGACATTTAATGAAGATAGCCTTATCTAATAATAATTCTAGAATGGTCGATACTAGGACATATTTCCGACTTTCAATTGACAAAGATTGAAAATGTTCATTATAGACACAATAGACCATAGATTTTGTTTTGGTACGGTCGGGGTTTCAATCGACAACCACCTTGCCTGTGCCCTTGAGCAAGGCACTATGACTTGCTTCTCTCCACTCAGGAGATGTGTCTGCTATGCGCCAATGGCAGCAACACTTTCATGTGGACACAATGATGTGGAAAACAAAGCGCTTCATCGCGTAAAGTAATTGAGATGTTTTGGTAGTTAAGATGCTCTGCCTTCCAATCCAATGGTCTTTTTTTCAAAACCTGTGACAGCACATGATGATCTCCACTCCTTAATCCTCGTAATGAGACTTTACTGATAAAGCAATACATTATGACATTTTTTAACCATGGAACCCGCTGGAACAGTACCCTCTATATACTGCACTGGTGGACCTTTCCTATCATTCGATATCTACCCCTCCTGTTTTACTCCTACACTTTTGGAGTCCTTAGGAGGTCGGCTTTACCCACCAGAACAAGAATCAGAACCAGAACTGATGTGTAAAACTAATAAATAAGCTTATCGATATAATGCATAGGTTGAGTAAAATTATATATTTGGGTATATTTTATTACAAAAAAAGAAGCTCACATAAAAAACAGTCTATTGCAGTATACACTGAATTGAAAGACTGAGTATAAAATTACAAAATTATAAAATTGGCAATAAATAATTTAAAATATTATTAAAACAGTGCAATATTAAATATTAAAATTTATATTGGAAACATTAAAAGACCAAGTCAAAAGACACGCAAGACAAATTTAACAATTCAGTCAGTAAATATATATATATTGTAAAAAAATATTTTTTAAACCGCTCTGCCAATCTACTGGAGGCATGCATTGCAGGGCGCCCGTGCCAAATGCTCAGACTAAAGAGATCACCGACACCAGGGTCTCACTACTAAGTGAGTTTAGGATTTTGGTCATATACGGTAATGGGCTATTTATAAATCGTGTTTTAGTGCTTTTATATTTTTTGTAAGGCCTATTTGTGCGTAGTGTCATGGTGTGACATGCATTAATAATTGGGAACCAGTTATGAAATCTATTAGATTTTGCAGCTTTTGTTGGTGTCCCGAAAGCTCAGACCACGAAAGCTAAGACCTAAGACCATGAGATATCAGACCTTGCACATTAAGACCCTCAACTATAGTATGCCAGGATTTCCAGAAAATAATACCTTTATTCGAAAGCTAACATCAATATATAGAACTGAAATAAACACCAGTATAGGTATTATCGAAACCAGCCATTATCAATTATTTTGATAACAATATGAGGTTCTCGCCGCCACGCCCACCTTAGCCCCACCATGGTTGGTGTAAAGTGGAAAATAATCGAGCCATCCTTTCATTCCACTGCTGGATCGCAACTGAACTCATGGGTTATACAGTTTTTCCTCTCTTTAACTCAAAATTTTCGGCTTGACTGAATTGGTGGGGGGAGGGAACGGTCCCTCATGCTCCCCCCACCCCCTTCGCTGGATCCGCCACTGGTCCTGGTTTCATGTTCTATGCTTTTAGTAATTTTATCTTTTTTATTATATAATATTTTGAAACCGAATATAAAACAAAAAAGAAGCAAGTAAAGAAAGGTAACGTGAATGTAAAAAGAACAAACTATCCCAAAAATATTAAGAGTGAGAACGATCGAGAACCATAATATTGGATACAGTATTCGCACGATAGATGTGCATTAGAAACGTAGTTCCATGGAGTGCAAATAGCCGGTTTGTTTGTACTATGTATTAGTTTTCTCCAGTAAACGTCGCAAATAGGGGCTAGTAGCTGGTATCTATGTTACTTAATGGTGTTTATTCTATGATTAGTCAGTTCTTATATTGACGTTAGCTTTCGAATAAAGGTATTGTCTAGAAATCCTGGCATACTTAGTTGAGGGTCTTAATTTGCGGGGTCTGATATTTCGAGTGGGTCTGATATCTCGTGGTCTTAGGTCTTACCTTTCGTGGTCTGAGCTTTCGGGACACCCAGCTTTTGTAGCAAATTTTGTACATATTGGGACCCTGCGGTCGGCCAGTGCCTGCAGTCCGGGCTGCGAAAGGGCATCACCATAAACTAGTAAATTTAGAATGCACCGACAAACCCGTGTTTGGATGCACTCTCCAAGCTTTGTTAAGCGAGGGTACCACAGAAGCGCAGCATACTTAAGTACAATTAACTCTCCCATAACGACTCAATTTTTTTTTTTTAAAGAACAATGTCGGTTCTAAAATCGATTAAATGAGCGTAAACCCCCTATAATTGTAATAGGCTCGCCTCTTGAATCACTTCCGATAGATTTTGAGTGACGTCCGACCACACCTACTTAAGCTCTCGTTGGGATCATTAGACTAGGCATTGCCCTATTAATAAGATCTTATTAATAGGTTCATTGACCAGGGTTAGACGAAAGACTGACTGTATACTAAATACATGAGATAACAAACTCTGTGAAGATACGTCAGCTACCGATTCTGCATTTAGAAGAGTAAAAGTCAAGGCTACTGATATTACCCGTGAGTTATCAAAGCCATTGCAGATAACATAGGCCTAGTTATCCCACTTAATTAAACACATCACTAATTGCTCCTTTTGTTTCATTTCATTTATTTCTCTCATACAAACATACAATATACAAAACATTAACACAGATGAACAAACCCAAACAAAATATAGGGTCAAAACACATTAAAAGAGAGAGGAAAACTAACAAGCAAACTAAATCAACTATCGAGTGGTTTCCCTTAAGTATAATATTAAAATACATGATTACCAACCATCTCGCATCGTGCGGGACGGTCCCGCATTTGAAAGTGATTACATGCATGATCATAATTTCTCACGCATTTAGAACAAGTCGATGCGTGATAACGAATTATCACAAATTCAGGGGAAAATGTATTTAAAAGAAGATATTTTTTTAAAAAGCCAACCATGCCCTTGGTACAATCTATATAATCGCGTGCGTGCGGTCTGCACCATAAAAAAATTACTCGCGCCCCCCAGTCGTCCCTCAGAAATCACGGTCAAGTAGTTAAATTCCACCTAAAATCACCATATTTTGCGAATTAGCTCCCCTCAACTGATCATCAAGCCCCACCCCCACTTGGTGTAGTCACGCATTTCAAATCTCTCAAGTTGGTAACTCTGAAAATACATAATACCTTTAAAAATCTACGATAAAATATATTTGCTCAATTAGAATAATGTATTTGAAATGTAATATTATAATAATTAGTAAAATAACTTTTAGGTTTGCCTCTGCCGTATTCTGGACAACAGCACCACCATACTGCCTGTATTCTGGACAAATTTCAGAGCCCGTATTCTGAACAAATTTCACAGCCCGTATTCTGGACAGAGAAAGCATTGCAAGGACTTGTAACCAGGATAGGAAGCTGGCTGCAGGCCCGTAGCCAGGGGGGGTTTTTATGGTTCGGGCGAACCCCCCTTTTCTAGCGAACCCCCCTGTTTTTTAGCGAACCCCCTCAAATTTTTGAATGAGTTCCACCCGTTTTTAAATTGTAGCCTGCATTTAGCCTACATTCATAGAATATCTCAGTTAGAAGTTTGGAGATTTAAATTAAAACGCAATTCCAGCAAACCATGACTTTACGATGGCACACATAAGGATGGCAAACGTCGATAAAAACACGGCTGCCGTCTCAACTTTCACTGGCCTTTGGCTGAATGTTTGTTAGAAATGTACCAACCGGTAACGAAACCGGTCGCCGTCTACCTAGAGTAAATGATGCCACCAAACGAAGCTAATGTTTTGCGACTTAATCCACCAAATGCAAATAAAGTTTTGCGACTTAATCACCTAAATGTGGATTGTGTGGTTAGTAAATTCCATAGCCATCACGTACACTAAACTATGTGCTGATGGAGCATTTTGGGTAAATGGACTCTCCTTTTTTTTCATCCCAAACAAAATATTATTAATAATTCAACATAGTCCATCTCAGTCATCATAGCCATGGAGTCACAAAATTAGGCTAGGAAGTTTGTTTTCAACAGCAGACACACTACAGAACGGAGTGCGTCAAAACGAGTGTTTGTTAATGTTTAGTGATGAAGAATCATGAAACGTTGTAGAATAACTGACTTTTTTCGTCCGCTGTTGCAAAGAAAAAAACGACAGATAGTCCTCGTGGGTTATTGATTTTAAAATCAATTAGCCTAGCCTAGATGTTGACTAGCTAGGTTCGCTCCTTGTTCATTTAGATACAGAATTATACCCCGAAGACAACAAAGTGTAGGCCTAGGCCTAAGTACAGTAGAACGTACTACAGGTAGGCCTACTGGCCTAGGCTTTTCTTGTAAAAGTTGAAGTGCATGTACAGGATGCGCCATAGGCCTATATTTAAAAAAAAACATTTTGTTAATTATTATTGGTTGGACTGGGACGGACCTAGGCAGGCAGAGCAGCTTTACCGTCGGAAGTCCTGGGTTTCGACGATGACGTCCGTGCACGTTTACAAACGCCATTGATTAGAATGAAAATAGACGCGCTGAATTTT